TCAGGCTGGCAGGAGGGGGAAGTTAGGGGTAACCAGGCAGGCAGGCAGGTAGGTGAAAATTAGAAGCCAGCAGTCCAGGATTGTGAGAGGGATATCTGACTGCTGGTTTAGGCCTAAGGGGTCCCAGATTGGAGAGGGTGTAGGCTGGGCTGAGGGGAGTCCCGGGCACCTCCCCCCCCCCCCATGCACAAATTTCATGCATTGGACCTCTAGTATGTATATGTGTATGTATGTATATACTTGGTTATACAATTGACCCTTGAATAACAGTCATATGTTAGTGGTGTCAAGCTCCCAAGCAGTAAAAAACCTTTTAACTCCATAAAAATGTAACTAATAACCTACTATTAATAGAAAGCCTTATAGATAGCATAAACAGTCAGTTAACACATATTTTGTATGTTATGTGTTATATACTGTATTATCATATTACAATAAAATATGCTAGAAAAAAGAAAATGTTATTACAAAACACATAAGTTAGAGAAAATACATTCACAATATGTATAGAAAAAGAAATCCATGCATAAGTGGAACAGCACAGTTCAAACTTGTGTTGTACAAAGGTCAACTGTATGTGTTACATATGTATTTATGTCTATATCACAGAATACGGTTTTCTTTTTCTCTATCTGCTTATGCAGCAGAATAAATCATTCAAATGTTTATTTTACCTCGAAATTTTCTCTCAGTGTCTTCATTACTTTTCTGTATTTTTTTTATAACTCTATAGCCATATTTCCTAAGAGACCTATTTACTTTTGAGTTTCCTAGTTGTAGTTTAATAGATTTCTAGGATGTCTGGGACCTTTTGTTACTATGAGATTGAGTTCAGATTTTGTTATTTATTTTCTGGTAATCAATTTTCTCAAGCTAGAGTCCATTTAATTTCTCTGGCAATGATAATTTTGAAATAAACTCATAGGTGCCCATAGGTAGTACTTTACAAACTATTACCAGCTTATGTTTTACATTGAATTCCATTTTAATGGTCAAAGTGGATTTTGCAATATTTGCTATTTTTAAATGTTTTATTGGAAAAATAAAATTTTATTTTGCAGTAAACTCATCATAAAAGGATGCATGTTGATCTTGTGTGACTAAACAGTGATACTATTAATAGTATGTCTACAGGTCTTAGTCTGCCTTTCCGTCTAAAGCAGTTGTTAAGCAGTTGTTGTGTGTGGTTGGAGAAAACCAAGTAGCCTATCCAAGTCTCCTCTGAAGTGACCAATTAGACATGAGCAGTATGCCTGTGTCCTATAACTTCCTTCTGACCCCAACCTCTAACTATCCTCCCATTTTCAATACTTTCGTTATGATTCCCGGAGCGCTCCATCCTTGACCTTGTCACTAAACTCATTCCATCTTTTTGCCATAATTAAAACCTCACTCTATCCTAGGACGCTGCATCCCCAGAAGTCTCCTAAAGTGGAGAATGGGTTCTCTACACCCTTGGAATCTCAGAATGAAAAAACACAGCTCAGGTGCTTCAAACCAATCCTCATATGAAATGCCCCTCTGCTTGGAGGTCCAAGTTTTCAAGCTATACCATATTCCAGCTTCTCCTTGTGCCCAGAATGCCTATGATTTTATGGACAATCCCCTCATGTTTACTATATACTTTCACATATATCTGTGGTCTTCCTCTCCACGACACTTCATGCCATCATTCTGGGCAACATCCTGTCCATACAATGTGCAATATTCAAGTTTCACAATTTTTCTTTTGTCTTTATCATTAAAGTCTAAGAGTTTTACTAAGACATGTCTGTCTCTAAGTTGACCATTTGGAAATTCTTTTTGAATTGTAACTTTTAAATAACATTTCTATTCCATCACTGTTTTTCTTATTCAAGGTCTCCAATTATATGTATGTGAGGTTGTCTTTGCCTATTTCCTATAGCTTTCACTTTCTTTGATTGTTTTTCTACATTATTTTTATGCTATTCATTTTGTATTCCTCAATACCCCTATGTTCGCCATTGATTCTGTTCTCTTTCACATTATAGTTTAGTCTTCATTCCTGAGATGATTTTGTCTTTTTCTTTTATTTCTTTCTGGAGTTTACTTGATTCTAACATTCTTTTCTGCCAATTCTTCTGAAATTTTGAGTTTCTAATTGGAGTGGAGTTTTTGATATATGAAAATGTTGATTTAATGATATTTAATTCAATACTCCTATTCTTCATGCTCTTTTTTTTAAAGAATAATTTCATTAACAGAAATTTTTTTTCATAATTTCCATCTTCTTATAGTAGTCTTCATGGTAGTTTTCAGCTACTTTCTATTTATTTTAAATGTCTTATACTTGCTTTGATTAACAAAAAAGTAATTATGTAGACAGAGGTGAAGAGTTTGGTGGTTTACTAGTTTCTTAGTTCAAGAGCACCCTCTTCTGTTGGTATAATGAACTGAAGTTTATTTAATGAGGGGTATATTTTATGAAGGGAATTGATTTGTCTTTTTATTTAGTGACTGTTATTTAGTTGGATCTTTATTTTCCTACTACCTCTTGTTTTTTTCACCACAAAATTCTTTCAATATTCCACTAGTGGGACTCTGTCAAGATTTCCATCTTAGAACTTTTGACTTTCATGGGTTAGTGTTCTGATATACCATATGTTATTTTATATATATATATATATATATATATATATATATATATATATATATATATATATATATATATAGTCACCACTAGACTAGCATTGTCTCCTCTTTTCCATTAAGATTCTACCTGTCTCTCTACTTTGGTATGTGCTATAAAGTTGCCTTTGCAACTATTTATTTGTTGTATCCTTCTATGTAAGTAAATTTACGGTATTAATCTCCGACTTTGTTTGTGCACATGGGCCTGTGTAGTTTTACTTACTTTCTTTATCTGTATAGTATTTGGAAGACATGTGCAGAGTTTGATATTCAAGTGACTGTAGTTATTCTTAAATTGTTATGTTTTGTTATGGTTCTCAGGGTCTTAACCTAGATTTTTTTCCCCCCTTTTACAAACTCTAAATGACCTTGATGACTTTTGATCCTGATAGACTGATGACTATCAAATTTTATTGTATTGCTGGGCTTCACATCTTTTATTATTGACAAATGAGGTATATTAATAGATCAACCAGTTATTTCCCACTAACATGTTAAAGGCTAAATTATCTTTTACTCTCCACCTCATGCCATATCTGCTCTTCCTCCTATATCCCTCATGTTAGTAAATGTACCATATCATTTTTTCAAAATGACCTATCATCTGTAACAATAAAAGCCTAAGCGACTGTCATAACCGAATTGATGACCAAACAGGCTGCATGGGGTGACCAGGCCCGCAAGGAGGTTAGTGAGGGGTGTCCAAATGACTGAATAGCAGGCTCCATGGGTGACCAGGCCTGCAGAGGGGGGTAATTGGGGGCAACCAGGCTGGCATGGGGGGCAGTTGGGAGTGACCAGTCTGGCAGGGAAACAGTAAGAGGTGACCAGGCCAGCAGTGGGGAGGGGAGGTAGGGGCAACCAGGCTGGTGGGGGGGGGGGGAGTTGGGGGCAACTAGGCCAGCAAGGGGGGCAGTTGGGAGAGACCAGGTCAGCAAGGGGGGGGGGTGTTAGGTGTGATCAGGCAGGCAAGCAGGTGTGCAGTTAGGAGCCAGTGGTCCTGGATTGTGAGAGGTATGTCCCAAATTGGAGATGGTGCAGGTTGGGCTGAGGGGACTTCTCCTCCCATGCACAAATTTTGTGCACCGGGCCTGTAGTAATTACATAAGACAGAAAGCTTCCTATAACTCCTGGCTCCAGTTAGTCTTTGGGTACTAATGATTCTTCCTCTTGAAGATCTCACATCTATATTCTACCACTCTCCAAATTCTTTAGCAGCATCATTTCTTGACTGGATTACTACAACAGCTTCCTAGCTATAGATCCTGCTTGCACTTTTGCTTCTTTCACTCTATAGTACACATAAGTTTAAGAAAACTTTATGTCACACATACCCTTCAAAATGCTACATTCCCTTCATGAAATAGTCTTGAAACCAAGATGTAGCCTGTTTGAGTCCAAGTTTATCTCTCAAAATCAAAGAATGAAGTCGCAGACAAACACAGTTCATGGGACTAAAGTTTATTGAGAGAAGCAAGTCTTGGAAAAGGTGCAGTTTCATGTTGCAACCAGGTGTAGTTCAGCATCCAAGCAAATTAAAATCTATTAGTCCATGCGTGGAATAGCACATGGCCATAAATCACGTGGGCACAGGGATGTACTCCCCTCGCCACAAGAATGTCAGAAACCCATTGTGTGCAGGCGAGAGAATGGGCTGGGGGAGGGGGAGTGCATAGTTTATTTGTATATATGCTTGCTAGTTTCTAATTGGTTTGTTCAAAGAATTCTGCCTTAATATTATTGGAATTGGTTTATACACATCATTGACTTGTGATTGGTTATTGCAAGCTGCATGTCTTAGTAATATCTGTATACTTTAAAGTTTATGTCTCCCACTGTGGGCCCCTCTTTCCCCACCCAGCTGGACTGTCTTAGGAACTCCGACGAGTTGGATTCTCTGGTTTTATTTCCTCCCTCCCCCGCACCTTGCATGGTTCATCCCTGACCATATAACTTCCCTCTGACTCCCCATTAGCATGGTCTAAATGATGGTTCATAGTCTGATAACTGCTTATATGTCTAGAATTCTCTGTCACCAGTCCTTACTTTCACTTCTCTCCTTCCCTATGAAACACAGAGAAACAGAAACACTGTGGCAGATTATACTCTGTAAATTTTCCAAAGCATTAATTCTAGTCCCACATGCTGTTCCAGAGCATACCACTGCCCCTAAGGGGGTGAAGTCTAATTGCCCTCTTCCTAAATACTGCCCAGCCTCAGTGACTCACTGCTAATAAATTAAATGCTGTGGAAGTGAGCCTGCATGACTTCTGATAGTAGGTCATAACATCAGTATAGCTTTAGCCTAGGCTCTCCTTACCGTCTATCCCTCTCTCTGTGTGTCTCAGAACCTGTACATTTGGAACCTTGGGAAGCAAGAAACTCAGCTACCACACTGGAGATACCATATTGAGAAACTATGTGAAGATAAAGAAAACCAAAAAAAAAACAGATTTTCTAACATGAGAATTTGTGTCTTCCCAATCTAAGCATCAGACATGTGAGTAAATGAACTTTCATATGATCTCAACTCCAAAGCTTGAGCCAAAGTTATGGTGAATAGAGCAGACACAAATATTCTCACCAAGCCCTGACTGGACTGCAGATTCATCATAAAATAAATATTGTTATTGTGTAAGGTTTAAAGTTTAAGCCATGAAGTTTGGTGGTTAGTTACACAGCAATTGAGAAGTAAAACAGGCAATAGTACACAACCCAGCTGTATTAAATTATTTTTAATTTCCAGTATTTCTTAGTCTATCTTAATATAACCTATACTTAGGACATTCTCATTTTTCCCCCCACACCCTATCCCTTTAGTTAGATAATGCTTTCTTTTCCATCAAGATTCAACATAGAAATGGCTTTTTAAGCCTTTCCTGATTCTAATAAATTGTGTAACTGCATGTGCCTCCACAGCATCTATATTTGCATCAAACAGTAATTATAATTTGAAATTACATTTAAATTTATTTATTCCTTATAAATCTACTAGAGGCCCGGTGCACAAAATTTGTGCATGGGTTGGGGGAGGGATGTCCCTCAGCCAGCCTGCACCCTCTCCAATCTGGGATCCCTGGAGGGATGTTCGACTGAGAAATATCAGGTGCAATATCAGAACTAAGTTTTTACATGATTTAGGTGATGAACAAATTGGGAATATTTGCTTTACATAAATATATCCTGAAGATCTCCAGTTGCTCTCTATTTAATGTGAATTAAATTAGTCTGGCACACAAATGGCCAATAAACACATGCAAAAAATACTCTACATCAGTGGTTCTCAACCTTTCTCATGCCATGACCCTTTAATACAGTTTCTCATGTTGTGGTGACCCCCAACCATAAAATTATTTTCGTTGCTACTTCATAACTGTAATTTTGCTATTGTTACTAAATCGTAATGTAAATATCTGTGTTTTCCGATGGTCTTAGGCAACCCTGCTAGCAATTTTCAACCTGTGGGAACCACTAGATAGGTTGAGAACCACTGTTCTAAATCAAATAGAAATGCAAATTAAAGCCAAAATGAATGACACCAACCTGAATGACTAAAATTTAAAAGACTGATAACACCAAATGTTAATAAGAACTTGGAACAACCAGAATTCACAAAAATTGATAGTAGGAATGTAAATGGGTACTATCCAGGAATAAAAAAGAATGAGCTACTGATATAAATTACATGGATGAATCTCAGAAACATTTTGGTGATTAAAAGGAGCCTCCTATTATGTATAGGCTGCTGAATTGTGTCCCTCCAAATTCATATATTGAATTCCTAAATCCTAGTACCTTCAGTATGTGGCTGTATTTGGAGATAGGGCTTTAAAAAGTATATAAGATAAAATGAGGACATATGGATAGGACTTAATGCAATATGCTGGTGTCCATATAAGAAGACAATAATAAGACACAGACAAAACAGTGATCAAGAAACAATCATATGAGAACACAGGAAAGAGGGCTCAGAAAAAAAATCTATTAACACCTTGATCTTAGACTTTCAGTCTCCAAAACTGTGAGAAAATACATTTCTGTTGTTTACATCATCAGTCTATGGTAATTTTTATGGTTGCTCTAGCAAACCAAAGCAAAAGGCTTACACAAAAGAATACATTTAATATTATCAAAACTATATATAATTCCAGAATCAGCAAAACTATTTTGTGATTTAAAAAAAAAAGTTGCCTCTGAAGGGGGGACTAGAGCATTAACTAATTAGAAGGGACATGCCAGAAGTTTCTGGGATGAGGATAAAGAGGATTGGGTTATACAAGTGTATGCATTTACCAAAATTCATGAATGTGTACTTAAAAGAATTGTGCACTTCACTATATATAAATGTTACATCAAAAGAGAGAAAAAACTGTAAACAATCAGTGGGACCCACCTCTGACATTAGAAGTCATACTGTTCCTCATTTCTTCCACTACAATTGTAAACCCAAGCACACAGTGGTGCTACTGTATTTTCCATTTTCACTTAGATGTTTGCTAAAACCCATCAAAGTGAAATTTACTGGGTGACATGCCTCTGCTATGCTCATTAGCCAAGAGAGCTTAGTTGAAGAATGAAGCTGTGTGGAGAGGAGACTTATCTTTTTATTTCTTCAGTAGGAAAAAGAACCTCAGTTGCACCATTGGCCAAAAGTCTTTTTGATCCTCAGCTGAAATAAATTTGTTGAATTGAAAAAACGTAAGTCTTTAATAATCAGGATACTGAGTTGAACATTATTGGACTGAGAGGGGCTAATTCTCAAAAGTTTTTGAGGAGCAAAGAAATAGAAATGTGCAGCTATATCTTTTCTTGACTTCCTTCCGGTGTAAAATGAAGGAGCTTTGGATTTCAGTTCAAAGTTCAGGTATTTTGTTTAAAGGGGAAGAAAAACTCCAATGTTCTACCTGTGTCGCCCTGCCTACGGAAATCTAAACACTAATGTTCTACTTGTTGAGAAAGCCTACCCTTTGAGCCTTTTCGAAGATTTATATTAATTTCTCAAATTGCCTTAGGACTTCAGCTACATAATCTCCTTGGCATTTTGACTGTTTTTGACCCAGATATCCAGTTTGTTTTATTTGCCTCTTAGTGAGTCAAATATTTTTTATATCACTGAACTTTCTCATTCAACTAGAGGAACTGGGTGGGAAGGTACAGGTAAGGATAGCCCATGGAATTACAGCTCTGCAAATCTAGTATTAGAAGAGGGAAAGAAACACCGGTCCTCAATCCATGAGATTTGAGATGAGGCATAATATAGGATCCTTGTTTATATATTTAGAGTTCTTCTCATAATTATCAGCTTTTGTAATAAACCTGAAAAAAATTTGTCTGGCTTTCAACACAATGCCACTTCTGAAAAAAATCAATTACCATTTGACCTCCTCACTTTTCTCCTGTTGATTTTCCTGTAAAGAAAAAATATTTTTTTTTACTAGAATTGGCTAGATCTTCAGTATGGTATTTAGGATGAGGGCTACTATAAGTCTGTTGAATTATCCCAATTTCCATACCATTGAGTTGTGACAACCCACACAGTTATAATTTCAAGTACTCTTTATAAGATTCCCCCAGATACACTTTCTCTTTCTTCTAAGCCCCATATTTCTATAAAGGATGTTTATGAAGAAGTATATTCTCAATCGCTTTTATGTCTAAGAATAATCCATAAATACATAAATCCTTAAGTAAATAAAATTCTTAAAAGTCTCATGAAACTGACTGAATTGTAAGATCTAAGTAATAAAAGTGGTGTGAGTAATGTAAGTATGGCTCCCCAAACTTTTTAAACACTATATTGTCCTGTCCCATTTCACTTTAAGCACACACTAGAATAGGCACTTTGCTCCATTTGTGAACTTTGATGTGACAGCACTTCAAAGATAACCTATTTCTCTTTATGATATTTTAAAAAATCATAACTTATAATGTTAAATACAATCTCTATATTAATCTAAATGTAATTTCACATTAATATTTAAGCATATTAAATATTCAAAATCATCCTAGTACAGTATTCTCAGCAAAAATGCTAAAACATGAAATGATTTTCTTCTAAAACCTAATCAGAACTTTATCAACATTGATGAAACTATGTCACCACATATTTATTAGGGCAAGCATTATAACAGAGATAAGCTGGCTAGGGCAGAATTACAGTGTCTACCACTAATGATTAATAACAACAACAAAAGAATTAACAGCACTTTATTCACAATCGTCTTATGGGGTATTTTCTTTTAACAACACAGATAGAATATAGGCTGAAACTACTGTTGACCTTATCAATTCTGAGGAAATAAAATTGGTTCTTCTATGTCTTGATTTAACAATACCTGTACAAAAAGACACAAGCTTCCTTTTCCCTTGAGTTTCTCCCCTAAAGCTATTAAATTTACTTTACTTAAATCACTCAGTGACTCATAAAGTTCATATCTGTTTCTGAAAGATGGGTCTGAGCAGAAGGCTTAATAACTAGTGACAATGATAAGTAAAAATACTTTGGGAAATTGTTGCCCCTGGTAAAATTTTTTAAATCGACCTGATAGAAGCATAAATATCCATTGAAAACCAAAACAACCCTGGGATATCAGAGCCTGAGCATCAGGATGACAAACATGATAAGCAACAAGAAAACCCAAACAGAAAAGTTCATATATACCTAATCATTATTAGCTAAAGGATGCACCTACATAGCTTATGTCTAAACAAACATAAAAATAAAAATTTCTTATTAGTTCAGAACCCAAAGACTCTTGAGAAATACTAGTATACCATCCTTGAAATTTAATTTATTTCAACAGCTTTATTGAGGTGCAATTGATATAGAAAAAAACTTTCACATATTTAATGAATGCAATTTAACATTTAAAAAGTACAGATATCATGAAAACTATCACCAGTCAAGGTAATTGCATATTCATCACCTACAAAAGTTTTCTTCTGCCAACCTAGTAATTTTAAATGCCGGAAATTTAATCACATTGGGGGATTCAGGTTAATAAAAGTAGTAAGGGTATTATTATCATTGGTATGGCTTCACAGTTCTTTATATTTTGTAAATTCAAGAAACCTGCTCAGTTCAGGGTTAGGGGAATGTACAACAATGTCTGATAACTTCATAAAATAAAAATGCTCCCAAGTAGATCTTTTGATATAGACTCATTTACTGTCTGCCCCAAATGGGTAAACGAAGCATTCCCAAGCTGATTTAGACAATTAATTCTAAGGAGATCATAAGTATAATTTCCTTCCTGATACCAAAAAGTAAATGTCTTTATTGCTCAAATTTAAGAATAGACAATATATAAAATTTCTGTGAAAAAGTAGTCAATATCAGAATTTTAATTTCATCATGTAAGATAAATGAAAACATATAAAAAAATAAAACAGCAAAAACTGAGATTGCTATTTAACCTGTTGCCTTCACATATGAAAGTTTAACTACTTATAAAAACAACAGAGCTTATTTCAGAAACAAGAGCTTACCTATTCATGTTT